GAGCCGTCTGCGGACTAATTGACGGCGCGAGTATTGAGTGGGAGATCAATAACTGACACAGAATTTTCAAGACCACTTTCTCTTAAGCACCTCTTGATGAAGCAACTTATTTTGTTAGATAAGAATGGTAGCTTGAAGGACATCTTACTTACGTTCGAAACATTATTTTGTGACATCATCAATCTTTTGATCCGACCCAAGTGGCTGCCGCTTCGTAGCCATTTGAAGTGGCTATTCTTCGTACGAATTTGGAGATTTCACCACTCACCAAGTTACCAAAGACTTCTATCCGCTTGGGTTGGAGAAATTGGTATTAGGCTTGTTTAGGAAGCTTCCAACTTACAAGGACTGATTTGGTTCCCTTCGTGAAGACCGCGAACTCCCTAGCAAAGCTATTGCAGAACTCCAAAAAATCGACTCAACCAACATTCATCGGCATTCATAAAGACGACTAAAAGTCTTTAAGCGGCTTTCGAACCACACGCCGAAATCCGAAGACTTTCCTAGGTGGTGAATGCGCGAAATGAATTGAATTAAAGAAGAGCTAAGTTGCGCAGCTGCACAAAACATGTGGTGTCTGAAGGTATAAATATATACATTCTTCCTCTAAGCTTTCTAGAAGTAGCACCTGAGGAGCGTAATATAACTAAGTATCAGTTCCTAAGATCGACTTTCTATTAACCTCGGTATTGGTTTATAAATCTGTTGTTCTCTTTTTTACAGCAATCGCGAGGTTGTCATTCAGAACACCTTTACTTCCTTACAAATATAACATATACAACACAACATTAGCTGACGTTTCGGTGGTATCGCCTTCTTCAGAGCCTGGAAGGGTACACTAGTCTGTAATTTATTAGGTCAAACGCTTCGACAGCGCAAACAGAAAGATGAGAATCTGAACAATAATTACACGATCACCGGCTTCTCGAAGAACCCACCGTCTTTCATCCGTTTTCCACCAAGGAAAAACAGCCGCTTATAGTCACATATGGTTGATTGCTGCACCACTCCACATCAAAAATCAATTCTGAGATACGGGGCTAGATCACGAGTCATCTCAGGGCATTCTTCCCTGCCATTCATTTTTGGATTTTTGGAATTTGTCCAAAAAGCCTCGAGAAATTTGCGCGTTGGTGTTTTAGTCTCCCGTGCGATAATAGCGACTTTTACATCAAAGTCTTCTCCGCTGTTTTTGATCCTATGCGTGCCTAGTGGCGTGCCTTGTTTTGATTTTCGTTTGCCATCTAGCTGTTCTTTTATGCGGATACATAAAAGTCTGCCTGTATCGCCGATATATTCGTCTCCACAAATACTACAAGAAATCAGGTATATCGAACCTGAACTCACGCAGTTACTGTCTCTCCCGTAAGGGCAAATTACGCAATTTTGTGTTCCACATAGACCGTCATACAGGTGGTTACAAACTAACTGACGACGAAGAGTATTCGGTGGTATTTCAACTAGCGGCACTAATTCACCTAGATTATACTAGTGTACCCTTCCACGCTCCGAAAAAGGCGATGCTGCCGAAACGTCTGCTACCGTTGTGCTGTATGTGTTATATTTGTGAGAAAGTAAACGTGTGCTGAATAACAACCTCGCGATTGCTGTAAAAAAGAGAACAACAGATTTATATCTAAGCATCCTCTTCGAACTGCAAAGCATAGGAAATAAAGCTAAAGCTCGGCGTCGATCAATCCCTGAGGATGTGCCATGCATTCGACTTCATCAACCATGGTGAAAATGATTGAATGCATCCTTAGCCTACACTGACTTGCGGTACCGCACCAATGTTCCAAGTCAGTGCTGTTATCTTTTCAGAAGTGGTTGACACTAATTAGCCGACCTTGGTTGAATGGAATGCTGGGTGAGGCCGAGGAGAGTGATCGAACTAAGATCACGAGCGTGCTGCAAAGCACCACTAACCACTGCGCTGCACGCGCATTCTCTCAAGTCGAATCCATGAAATTTCATATTTAATACTGTCACAATGACAAGACTGCAATCATATTGATACGATACTACTGCGAGAATATTTGCTTCTTAAAGCTTTCGCGACGACTCCCAATTTTATGTGGCTGGCGCATTTTCTGACGCCTAATTTTCGCGTATTACGCAAATGCTGATTTTCCGAAGGTAGACTATTTTTCCAAGACCGACTTTCTGTTAACCTCGGCACTAATTGATAATTGGATGTTTTCTCCAATAAGCAGTCACGAGGTTGTTATCAAGGAAATTTGACCTTTCCAGGCTCTGAAGAAGGCGAAACCACCGAAACGTCAACTATTGTATCGTAATAGATTCTTTAATAACAACCTCGTGTCTGCTTATTGAAGACTATATTTTCTCCATAACTAAAGGGCTTCAAAGCTTGAAAATATGACAAAATTATGTAGGAGATTTTTCTTAATTGCTGTAGAGGCATGCATGGCACGTATGCCAGTATTTACCACTTGAACTCTAGTCTAGGGTGAGGGATATGAGGCGTGTGGCGCAGTGATCGGAGGCGCCTGCAACACACACGTGGAATCGATCTCCACGCCCATGGCTCACCAAGCCCTTCATCCCTCCAGGTTTGGCAAATTGGTACCAGACTTGTCTGGGAGGATAGCAGCACTGGCTCGATACATTGGTAGACCAACGCGAGTCATTGTAAAGGTCAGATATGGATTCATTCACTTCCAACGATACTTCATAAAGTCGAATGCATGGCGCATCCTTTAAGGATAGATCAATGCCAACGATTTTATCCTTTATCCTTCTACTCTAGTCTACTGCATAAACACCTTGCTAGTAGTATTTAAAAGTGTTTTCGAAACTTGCGTTGTGCCTATTTCTGTAACTTTTATATCGATCGATTTCATGCGGTGACTTTTATTCACCATGGTAATTGGAAATTCAACAGCAATCGATTAACGGTCAAATTACCTACCAATAAACTCGTTAGGAAAATGGTCTTTTGTGCATTCCCAAGTGCAGGATGGAGCTGTCCACTGACAAGGCCCATCACATCATTAAGTTGTATAAGCTATCGGTGTGAGAATAGTGTTCTGTAGGCCAAAATAAATAGCCCAAAAGCGTATGACCTCCATAAACGTAATTCCGGCAACTATGCCCTTAGTAAATGACTCCAATAGAGATCACATCGTTGTGAATATGTTCTAACATAACGAGCCATTTCAACGGCGACTATATACATTTTGCTGGAAATCCATCGAAGCGGTGCGGCGTCGTTATAATTTCGCGCTTTCAGCCGATGCTACTCTTTTCGTTAGCCGAAGTGCTAACAAGGTGTCATTTTTCCTAACATAATTTTCTCCGATATCTGTAACGATTTCTCAATGGCGTTGATAAACAGTATCCTTTTTCATGACAAAAAAAGCTTTTTTTCTTCACACCACGGAGTGATGCTCGGAAAAAGACGCTGTGACGTCACCGAGGAATTATTAGCCCTATTTTCTCTTTTTCCTCTTTTTCCCAAATAAATAACTTTTCATTTGGTTGTTCTGACAAGAAGAAATCACGACCAGTCGCTTTTCAAATCGAAAATCGCGGTCTCGAAAGCGCGAGGAAAAGAGTTTTTGTCCTTTTCTGCCATTTGTGTTGCCTTTCTTGACAATTCTTGCAAGACAGTTAAGATTAAAAGCTTTTTTCCGAAATTACGATCAAAAAACACGAAAATTTGTGAGATGTTGAAGTGAACCCAATCAAACTGATCCGTGCAAATAACCCTATTTGTGACTCGTAGCAAAACAAATGTTGAGAAGAGCTTCCCGTCGAGTTGAAAATGTAATGTGCTGAAACGTCGTCTTTTTATTCTATTTGTGAAGTCTGGACAAATCGACGAGATTTTCGTTGGTTTTCGAACTTTCCGTAATGAACCTTACGACAAATTGGTCGGAGAAAGTATAATTTCATTCAATATCAACGAATTTCTTAGTTTTGGACCTTACATAGATCTGGGACGGCGTCAGGTTTTTAGGAAGTATATATCACTGGCGAATTACGGTAATGTACGAAGGGTAATGGTGCAAGGAAATACTGGCGGGAGTGCCGTGCTAACGTCTCGGGGAACTCATACTTGCTGTGCCATCCCACTAGTGAAGCACCATTCGCAAGTGCAGATCCCACACAGCGTAAGAATGAAACAATGAGGAAATGATCCGAATTTAACTCTCATTTTTGTTGCACCGTAGCCAGCAGTTCTACTCCTAAAGCGCATTTTTACATACATTTATATTTGCTACCAATATCTTCTACGTCCTACACAGCTTTATATCACCTACAACATGGGAATAAAGCGAAAAGTTTAAGAAATTCGGCGTCTGTCAATCTGCTACAACTAACTTTTCCCACCGAAAATTTTCTGAGCGGCGCCAGAAATGTCTTGGGTGATTAATAGATACAGTTATTATACAGTTATATTACATGCAGTTATTATGAAACTCTATTGTGGTCGATGATTCAGCTTCATCGCCTCGCTTTGGGTGACGGCGGCTGTATTAGAGTATCCAGAAAAGTTATTTATTGCAATCTGCCATAGTTGTACATTCCTCCATTGATAGGCTGACACGAGGTTAATAACAAGTTGTAGTTGTACTCGATATTCGTAGCTATATTAGATGAAAACTTAATAACAGACATAACTGCAATCTGAAGTAAGCTTAGCAATGAACCGGATTGTCGCCTAACCATTCCGAGCTTTAAACGGAAGTCGGTACTGGAAATATTGTTTCCCTACTTACCAATCAATATTATGTCGACTGCTCTCTGGTGAACTGTCCACGTGAAAGGAAATGAGGTCAGGTGACAATCGGGCGAGAACTGTCCTGTATCATTCGTTTAAGCTTAGAAGTAAACAGAGATAGTCGTTATCCAAGCCAAAGCTAAGTGGAACACGCCATTGAAGCCGGAAATGTTTAATCCCATTCACTAATGAGATCACAATTCCTACTGGATTACTAGCATCTTGAACCATTAGCTGCATTGTTGCCAGTAAGTCAAACATTGGCGTAAGCACTCTTCTAATCCTTCGTGTGATGGATAATTCGAAACTCCTGCCTATAATAGACCCTAACATATCATTAGCTAGCGCAGAGCATAATAATATTTCAGAAATCGACCGTCATTTAGCCTCGTTACAAATAATGAATACCTTCTCGGGTTATTAAACTGCTCTACTGAAGAAGATCAGACTATACGACGACGAAGACAACGCATCGAGAAAACGAACGACTGCGGAGCATCGATTCTGATCATCGGCTCTGAAGAAGACGAACACGTCGAAACGCTAGCCGAATGGACGTTCTCATCAACCTCGTGTTAACTCCATAATCCGAGAAGGTATTTAATAAGTATTTGCTCCAAGCTGGTGCTAAACACTGTTCGTATAGCGTCTGCTAGCCGAATTTCTGCACAAAGTGGCTTTGGACCATTTAAAAAAATTCAATATCATTGCATAGTCCATTCATTTTTGTTGCTTCGTTGAATGTTAGACACAAATAAAAGCTGCTTTTGACACAGAGTATTACTTGTTGTTGAGCGATTACAATCCTCACTGGAATAAATTCAGCCTCAAAAACGTATTACCTCTAACTTGAAATTTTCCCGAAAACAAAGTTGTAGCCCCTATTTGTGGCAATGTAAGTCCTATTCTTTGGAAAGCAGTTAATAAGAAATTGATGGTGGTGTTCTTACGAGTAGATTGAAGAAATAAATAAGAGGTAAATCTCTTTTAACACTGTAAGCAAGAGATTCATCAACGTTCAAGGATAAGCCAGGTGATAATTTAAGAAGTATCTGATCGTTAGCAAATGCTATCAAATTTGGGTTTAGCGGTGACGAGAATAGTCGGCGTGCATAGAATAGCAATGACATGCAAAACGTGCGTTACAGTATTCTGAGCGCTTTCCGTTTGTGATGTTTAAATATTTATTTCCACGGCAAATTAGGAAAAATCGGATTTTCGAATGTACGTTGAGTGAATTACAAAGTTAACATTTATTCTTCTCTACTGTAGAGTTCTGAATATTGCTCTTTTCCTTCTCAGTAAACAGCTCATCGGACTGAACTCGCAATCGTTCCAATAGCCGGCGTCTCGTTTCGCTGCCACTGTGTCAAGCCACTTCATAACCGGGAAGTCTCGTGACTGAAACTTCATTCTCCTTATAATGAAAATTTCTCATTCTAGTACAATTTCAGTTGATTTCTGAACTGGGATTTTTCATGAGACCCTGTGAAACTATGATTAGATGCAGTAAAAGGCACTTAAGCGAGATATTTCATGAAATTATAGAAAAATTAGCAACTCCTCCGAACAGTTATGGGACAAACCATAAATTTTTGTGTTTTTCAACATTCCCATGCTGAGATTTCAAATTAGGCGAGAGCCACCACAACAATTTCCTCAGTGAGAACGACCTGGCTGGATCAGCCAACACGTTAATTGAATTTGTGAACGTTTGTGGATCCACTCAAACTATCGAGATAGGCAATTTATCTCTGAGTGACGTCAGTAACGAGTTAATACTATTTTGTTCAACATTAGTATTCCGTGTGTTCGAGTTGAATATATTAAAATTCAAATAAGCTCCTAAAACGTCTCCAACATTTCCCATGACAGCTTTTCTCCAAAAGGCGGATTTAAAATCGACGCGTTTTGCCTCAAAGTGTTGACAAGCGCAACTACTATATTAATCGTGAGAAAAATGTGTGTTTGGATTTGTGTCTGTGTATGTGTGTATGTGAGTGTCTGTAAGTGTGTGTATCTCTAAGGCTAGAAGATCGAGGACAAAATATGTCTCTCAAAAAGTACTTGATGAATCGTATATATATGTATATATATATACATATATATGTATATCTATATATATGTGTATATATGTAAAAGCCAAAGGATAAAGCTCTTGGTGTTGATCAATCCCTGAGGGATGTGCCATGCATTCGACTTCATTAAGTATCGCTAGAGGTGATTGAATGCATATCTGGCCTTTACAATGACTCGCGGTGGCCTATCGATATATCGACCCAGTGCCCCTATCCTACCATACCAGACAAGTCTGGTAGCGATTTGCCCACCCTGAAGGGATGGAAGGCCTAGTAGGCTAAGGGTGTGGGGATCGATCCCGTGTGTGAGCTGCAGAGCCCCTCCAACCACTGCCCCACACGGGCCCATATATATATATATATATATATATATACATATATATATATATACATATATATATATACTGTAACACTGATTTCTTTCCAAAAATTCCGTTTGGTTAGACTTCAAAGAGTGCAAAATTTATTAAACAACAATTTAAGTCGACATATTTTTCACTGAAGAATACATTTTAGGCCACAGTAACAAACTTCCCCTTTATTTGAGCTTATATTCTATAGTTTTGGTAAAACAAATACAATCGAACTGTCATGCTTCTGATAAAACTTTGTTTTCTTTCAGAGTCCTTCGTAAACGAAGAAGTTAGAGCATATTGAAAAACTTTTATCATAGTCAAAATTGAAATCTCATTGACTTTCCGAATAAAGATTTCATGAATTTTGTTGTTGGAAAGTGAGACAAGTGGTTGGGAGAAAGTAGATTCTTATAGTTGGACAAGGTGTTAACGGCAGAGCAGTTTAAGACTGGAAATCTCAATTGGACATTATCCAATTCCAAATAATGATAAGAAATGGGAGAAAAAACAATATTGTGGGGCAAACAGAGAAACACTGGAAACAATGCCATAAAAGTGGGTGAAACTTGCACTTTTATCAAGAAATGGGCATAGAATAGAAGAACTAGTACTGCTAGCATGACGTACCTGTGATCCGGCTGAAGTTGTGACCAGTGTGGCGACAATAATAATCAACCACGGGGTAATCATTACACTAGTCAGAGTGAGCAAATGGAATGACTGAGAATGTGCCAAAGCCACACCCCCTCCCTTTCATTCACTCAACCACATCCTCATACTGCTTCAATTATTACAGTAGTTTCGTCACTAGAACGAATAACGTGTAGCCAAAAAGACACGGTATCATACTGTCCAGTGAAGCCCCGCTTCACGCCTACTGGTCTCATACAGCTCCAGTCAAGAGTATTGCTTGCTACCACGCGACGTCGCGCTACAATGTGACGAAATGCCGTCGGACGTAGCTCAACGTCGTCACGGACTCCAACCAGTCACAAAAACAGAGAAAAAATAAATACGAGAATCTGTAGTGTGGCGTTCAGCGTCACCATTGACGCTTCCAAGCGAAAAAAATTCAATATCACAAAAAGATTCCATGCTAAAGGAAACGAAATTGCACTAGTACAACCTTAAGACATACCAACCTCTCAGACATAAACATTGACTATTGAGAATTAAATGATATTGGAGTGGCGAAATCGTAAGGTGAGCCGTTCTGTACGATGGGGAATTCTAGCACTAGATAGGTTGGCACAGGAAATGTTAACGATTTTACAACTAACCGTGCTACATCTCAGACACACGAAGAACGCTCACGCTTCTAATTGCAATTAGTAAAGTACATGAAATCTCACAAGTTTTTTTAACAAGCTTTTTTTAGCTATTATGGTAGTGCACTAGAAAAGCAATCTGATCGCCCGTCGTCAATTTGAGAGCATCACGTGTTCGCGATTGCTAAGGCTCACGCACTATGACTAGTCATGGCTAGTCCTACGGGGGGGGGAGGGGTAGGGAGGCAACATCTGTAACATTGTCCCCTTTCGTTAGGTGGCAATCTCGTACAGTAATATACAAATCTTTCCAAGAGGCTTAATCAATAAGAAAAGTTACTGATAATTGATATACAGCGATGATGACCAGAGGTGAAAACAGCGCAGAAATTCGAAGTGACTTTCTGTCTCTGTGGATTAAAGCAGAATACTGGAAATGGTGAAAAGAAAAGCGAGAGCATAGACGAAAGATCACATGATCCATTCTCCGGAACCGTAGATCTGTTCGATATGGTTACCAGACCCTGCATTTGTGCAGCGGATTCATTGGTGATCCGGCCGGACAGTTGAAGGCGGTTGCGAAGTCGACGCTATTTGACAACGGACCTTTCACTCTAAAACTGGAAAATACATTTCTGCTAACAGATTTGCTTTCATTGTGCTTCAGAAACGTGACTTGTATTTCTTGCTTTCTTCATGTCTCCGCTCTTCGTTAAATGCATATGAACAAATGACTGAAATACCAAAAATTTCTCGGTATTGACAAATCGGATAGCCATAATAGAGTCGATTACAGAAATTATGAATATATTTGACAAGGTCTGGCATCGCTTATATGCAAACATGTATTAATGGCTTTAGGATTTTATTCCTAATAATTGCTAGGATTTCGAAGGAGCACGCCCTGCCCCCCTCCCACTGCTCTCTGAAACCAAACGAAGTTGCTGAACTGTTTCAGAGTTTAGTGAATAATTAAGTTAACTATAGATCACCATTACCAAAAGCGTCACTTTATTGTATGCTTCAAAATGAGTTATGTGGAGCTAGCACTACAGAAAATGGTGGTAAATAATAAAATTCTTCCCAGTGCCGTTTTATAAACGTCCCTGCACACACACCACTCGAAGTCGCGCGTACCTGATCGGTCCAGGGGAGTGTTCAGATGTTCGTAGTTTCCGCACGGCCTCCTTGTCATTCATCGTTCCGCACCAAATCTTTAATAAAAAAAATTGCTGAAAACTATAAAACCCCAGAGAATGACGGTTTTTAAGTCTCGACACGAGAAACACATTAACACCTTCACGATAATGCCGAAATTTCAGGTGTCGGAATGTGCGTTGGAATCAAGCGTAGTGACCGCGAGCCCTCTGAAGAGGCACGGCGCATCAGTTCTTTGTGGTTCCTTTTTTTGGTTTTTTTGCTAAATTCTAGGAGATATCTGTGTTCTTCAGTTTATGTCCTATGTTCGTGGACATTTCTTATGTCTTATGAAAAAGCTCGCCTATTCTCTAACCACGGTGTTACTAGCTTTCCGCATGGTTTTACACGATAGTTTAAGTGTATTTTTGTGTCTCCTTCATATTTTATACATACATTGATTTATTCCATCGTTCGAGAACGGCTTTTTGCATCTATAGCGCATTGAGCATACATATCCGTAGCTTGGCAAGGCGTAAAATCTGCGTTTGACTCGCCATTGATTGACTAGAAAAGGTTTGGCAAGAAGGCTCTGTGCGGCGGAATACGCCGGAAAAAAGGGGAGCGCATTGAAATCAAGATGCGCAGTCCGTCATCAGCGTACAAATCGAAATAAATGTGCGTGGTCGAGAATGGGTGAAAGGGTGAAGAGGTAAAGTTCTCGGAGTTGAGACAATCGCTGAGGGATGCGCCATGTATTTGATTTCATCAACCTGCGCAGGTTGATTGAATACAAATCTGTCTTATACAATAAACTGTGATAGCCTAACGATCTATCAACTCGGTATTTTTATCCTTCCACGGAGATCTAATACCAATTCGCAGACCCCACAGGGATAGAGAGCCTGATAAGTAGTGTGCCCCGGGATCGAACCAGAGACCGATTCAGTGTATTTTACAGGCATCTCCAACCATTGAACTATGTGAACCAGAGAAAAATGGAAAATTCGAAAGGTCCATAAGAGATCAATCAGTAGATATTTGAATTCACCTGGGCGTAGTTGAGAAAGAAGAGCTGATCGTGTGTTAAGTTCACGCCTGGTAGTCGAGGTGGAGGTGAATGCGATTGCTGATATTTCTTATAAGCCCTAAAGGTTTTGCACAGTACAGTCCGGTTCACTACGAAGATGATAAAAACATGATTAGAGATAATCTTCGACCTTGAAATGAAGAATGCGTTAAAGGAAAATTTGAGAATGGCTGAAAAACAAGAACAGCGATGATGATGGTGATAATAAGTTTGGTAAAAAGCATGACAATAATAATGACTACAGCACCAAAAAACAATGACAACAGGAAGGAAGAAAAGGTGAGAAGAAAACTAAAGAATGAGATTAGGATTCGTGTGTCTACGACAATTAGATTTCGTTTGAAATTAGAACCAGCGCAACCAGTGGGGTACCAACTGAGCAAGGAACTTTGTATAAGTAGGTGTACATCTGTCGGCGTTGACCAATCCCTGAGGGATACGCCATGCATTCGAGCTCATTAAGCATCGTTTGGAGGTGAATGAATGCATGTCTGGCTTTTACAACGACTCGCGGCAACCCACCGATTTATCGATCCAGTGCTGCTAGTCTACAGACGAGTCTGGTACCAATTTGCCGACCCCGAAGGGATAGAAGGCTTGTTGGATCATAGGCAAGGGAATCGATTCCACGTGTGTGTTGGAGAGCGCCTCCGACCACATCACTACACGCCTCCTACATATATGTATGCATACATATATATGTATATATATATATATAGATATAGATATAGATATATACATAGAATTTAAGTAGTGTAGACAGGTGCAGCACGAAATGCACTCCACTTGACTGGGGGCTGTCGTATAGGATCTACATAATAGTGGTTTTTGTATGCCACACATTCTCATTATTTGAAGAAAATTCAGCTTTCTTTAAATGGTTGATATGTGAGCTAAGATGACTTGATCTTAAACCGCTGTTTGGATCGCAGAACCGTGGAGTTTTGCGAAGAGGAAACGATGTCGAGGAAGTGTTATTGGGTAGGATTTCTCTCAGGATAACGCCTACTTGTATGCTTGCTTAAGTCCTCCATTGTCCGCAATATTCTCGCCTTTCGTGCTCCGACCATTAATTTTCATTGAAATCTGCTCCAACATGTACTCGGAATACTGCTTTTCGATGCACTCTGCCTGAAAATCCGTTTTCGGGTAGAAAAACAACCGATAAAATAGCTCGAAATTGAGAAAGAGCGGTGAAAACCGATATCAGGTCGATTCCGCTGCCAAAAATGCGCTCCATTAAGGAAATAAGTTTGCTTTTGTGAGACTTCCAAATGAATTGCATGCTAAGCCTGAGATGATTATTCAAAAGGCCAAGGTGAGCGATCTCCTGCGAATGAGACTTCCCTCCATGAACTGACCTTCTTCTCGAATTTCGCTATCGTTACGTTGTCCCACCATTGTCGTATATTGCCAAGATTGTCGTAGAGACGCCCTGAAACGAAATCTATTCTTATATTATACAGAAATTTTCCGCTTCCTTTTAGAAAATACGATATGTAAAATAACTATGGACACCTCTATCGTCAAATCCGTGCGTAATTTCATGTCCGATCACCACTCCGATCCCACCAAAATTCATCGATGATGGAAAATCCTTGCTGTAGAACACAGGTTGGAGAATGCCGGCGGGAAAAACTGAACATGTTTTGACTCCAACTTCCATGTTTCTTCAAAAGTTTAAGCATTTTTCATAAAAACGCAATGGACACTCTGATGCTTCGGGATTGGCAAGCATGCCACCATTAAGCGACTGGATCGATAAACATTCTGTTAAGGAACTTTAATTTGGACAATGCATAACCCGTTTGTGGCACTGGATAGCAGTCAACCTCAAGGGATTCATGAACTTCTTTGTTGAATGCATTAAAAGCACATCATATATTAGGAGATGCAGCAGAGGTGAATGATAGCCTTTTTCACCTTCATCGTATTTCTTTTTTCCATTCATGAGTTAGTTTAGATTTCTCTTAGGATTTCTGATTTAAGAAATGCTTTTTAGAAAAAAAAGATTTTATTTTAGCATTACACTATTCATTAAAAAATTCTTAACGAAAGAACAAAAGTGTGATCATTTCTAATAATTCTCCCAAAATTACAAGTCGAGATTCATTGACATCAGTAAATTAACAAAACTAAAGACCAATATAGATTCCATTGCATATCTAACACCGAACACTCTTTATTTTTATCCCTATGTCTACCTCGCTTTCTATCTCTGCATTTATCTGAGACCGGATATAGCACAGAGATTGAAGCTGCTCTCTCACGCACTTTGGGTCGGTCTCTGGGTTGTTCTCGCACCCAGCGTGGCCGAGTTTTCAATTTGTGCGGGATCGGTAAATTGGTACCAGACTTCTGTGTGAGAACAAATGCATTGATTTCTTGCATTGGTAGACACCCGCAAGCTCACTAAACGAGGTAAATATGCCTTCAGTTAACTCTACGACGTTTAGAGAAATTGAATGCATGGTGCATTATTCAGGGATTGATGAGCCTACATACTAACTACTTTCTTATTACCTATTGTAAACTTTATTACTAATCCTTAGCTGTAAAGCGCTTAGTAAGAGCTACCTTATGTTGTGGCTCTGTAACTAGTAAAACGGCACTGACTAATATTCCGCAGGGTGGAACGTAGTTACATCTGCCTTCAGACGGTTTGTAGAAATAGCCATCAGCATGTGAAACCATTCGTGTTCTTCTGCTTACTCTTTTCCCAATCACTCATCTCATGACTACCGTAAAGTTAACTTTTATCAATATAGGTATTCATTACTATCCCGTCTCACAAATATATTTTATAGTTACTCTTTAACCCTTACCCGTTTATATTCACCCTTTAACCTTTAACCCTATTAACCTTATTATTGCACACAGGCTTTTAGGGTACCACGTAATTATTGTTGATCATATAAAGCTTTAATCACCAAACTTGGGTCTAAAACAGTAGAAGAAATACAAGGTTCCAGGTAATGGGATATTACAACTAAATATTTTTCCGCTACTCAGCCAACGAATGGAATGAAACTCACTAATCTCGTTTGTGTTGGGACTGTAGAAGGCATTTACGAGCGCTGCGCCAGCAACCCATCTGAAAAAGAGCACTTTTCGAGAGACTTTCAAAGCACGAAAATTTCGTCTAACATAAAATTTTAGAACTTTCCACAACGTCGGAGTATCTTCACATGAATATACACTTTAATGAAGTATAATGGAAGAACAATTTTCCAATATTGGCTTTCATATAGTCTTGGCATGGCCAAATTTACATCGCATTGATAGCAGTCTCCCTTGTAGCCACTGTTTCTATGCCTTGAGAGACTTGAGTTGAATTCCCGTCGACAGCAATCGTTTCTTGCGAAGTGAGGTATCGTAGTCACATCAGTTAGTATTCCACAGTGACCGATTGGACTTCTCCCATGTTACGAGTTAACCACTGTGAAAAACTCAGCAAATAGTTTTTCATTATTATATAACAACAACTAACGCCAATATTTGTAAAGCAGTAATGCTCTACGTCGCTACCGATCTTAACTCTGCCCTAGAACTCTATTCCTCTAGACCCTGGTGAACTGGCTGAGTGCATTCGAATAAATTCGAGCTAAATGACTTTTGTTTCGTTTCGCCAACCGTAACTCATTCTTAAATCGTTGTCTAGCTGCGTTTCTAGAACATTCTGGACGAGGAAAAGGGGCTTCGATAATCCAAGCGGCATCGATTAAACAGAACTCCTCAACGAGAAGAATTTGATGCTTAGGAAAGTGAAGAAAATAGTCTTTTTTACTGTATGTTCTTATTTCAAAAATAAAGTTTCTGCAATAGCCAAGCCTCGTCTGAAGTGATATCTGCTGAAGGTTTCCAGAACTTAGGGTAAGCACCTAGAAATCTAAAACTTCTTCACATACTTGTTTTAACGGACACTGTTCGTGATTGAACTAATCCTCTTAACAGAGAATACGTTCTATGTTTCTTTTTGTTTAGCCAAGAAGTTTGAAAATGCAAAAAAACTAGGATGATCATTCTCCAAACAGTTGATTGGAGAAGTTTTTTGCTACGCACGTTATTGCTAGACGGTTGAGCGCTTAAAATGAGAAGAAAATTTAAAATCGCCAAAAAGTTATTTCTAACGTCTATTTTCGAAAGCTTATGTGAATTTCTTAAAATTTTGTCATATTTAAATATATCGTAAAACTCAATTATAACGGATTTTTGGATTGTCTTAGCAGGCCAAATCCTAGTTCTAGCGCAAAACTCTTCTTACATGGATGGCCCATTCTAACTGCTACTACGCATGACACCACATTTCTTATTCGCTGGTATATTGTTGTTTAGGCAGATGTTTTTAGAATATCAAGACAGCTACGCTAAGGTCTTTCAAGGCCTAATTGCAAGACAGTCACCATAAATCGGGGATGGCTGAGTGTTTTACTGCCTCACTTGCTGCATTGCAGTAGAGTAGCAATTTTTGGTATCAATTTACTCACATGTTTACTACTAGATATAAGTGTCAAAATCTTTCAAACACGGCTGAATTTAGTAAATCCAATTCTGGTCGACGTTTCAGCGGTTTCGTCTGCTTCTGAGCGTAGGTGAGTCAAATTGACATGCAGCAAACCGTTCAGTCGAACACTGCCGTAACCTCAGCAGACGAAGCTTGGCACATAAACGTGCTACTTTTTATTTACCAGCTATCGTTTCTTCATGGTAACGTAACATGTAAAACACAGCCAGAACGATTTTCAGCTATTAGCAAATCTCAGACCCAAGTTCAGGCTCGAACCAGCTGTTACCCTTCCCGGAGCTCACGTGTTACCCACTGCATCACCGAGGCCATTGCTTTACTTTTCTCCCAGCGAGTTTCTCACACCAGCGGTGCCATCAGCAGTCACCAGTCAACGGGAATGATCTGGGGAGCATAAATCGGTATTGACTCTCTTAAGCCGTGGCTGTATTGTAAATCACAATGCAGTCATCTAATGATGCTGAGACATTTGCAAAGCTCCGGACCGCAGGTGTCTGCGGTGAGAAACGAACGCGCTACTGTCCTTTCTGGAGAATAACGCGTTCACCACCACACCATGCGGATCCTTCGTTTCGCCTGTCTCTCGGCTAGTCCTATCGATCTCTGCCATCAGCAATCACCTGTCGGCGGAATTAATCTGGAGAGTCCAAATCGGTAACGAACCCAGTTAAGCTGAGGCTGTAGTTATAATCACAATTTTAACTTATTATTTAGTGCCTACTCTTTTTAATGGCAGGGTAAAAGAGTAAAGCATAAAACACTCGGCGTTGGTCTATCCCTGAGGAATGCGCCATGCATTCGACTTCATTAAGTATCGTTGATGGCGATTGAATGCATATCTGGCTCTCACAGTGACTTACGGTGGCCTACCGATGTATCGAGTCAATGCTGGTATCCTCTCAAGTAAGTCTGGTACCAGTTTGTCGACACCGAAGGATGAAGGGCTCGGTGAGCCACGGGCGCGGGGATCGATCCCATGTGTGTATCACAGGGCGCCTTCGACCACTGCGCCACTAAGTAATGTACCAGGAAAGGCAATGGTCACCGTGTTAAAAGGCGCGACTCTCCCTACCGCCAAGCGCTCGCTATTAGAATCGGTTCCAAGTTTTTCAAGAGCGCAACCCGTTTCCTAAGAAACTGCGCGGGATTGCATGCAGTGTGAGCGAGCTTCGAAATCGACTCCTAACAAAGCTAGATTTAAAACAGTAATAGGAATGAAGAACAAGATGTAGGGGTATTAAGACCACCTCCTACCCCTCGAGCGTTATTTAGATAATAATCCCCAGCAGCAAAGCGAAATCTTCGCATTTTTCGCACGAAACAAAATCGTTAAAAAAAATTTGGAATGCGACAGATTCGAGAAGTAATAAGATCGAAAACCATTAGATTATCAGTAAGAGATAACGGTGGAGTTTTTAGTAGTTCTTCGTCAGCTAAATGTTTAGATGACGGATAAACAGCTCAAAGACGCTTCGTTTTATCGCTCATCATCTGAAAATGAATTTAAAGGTCAATATCGAAAATTGGACAACGAATTGCTCAAAATGGCAAGCGCTTCAGGCTTAAAACCATCGGTTATTAAGCAGCATAGAATTCAACTACCCTATATGCATTGCTGTCTTCTACTCAGTAATAAAAATTAATAAGCTAGTTCTCCTTCTCAACGGTTTTCCGTCTCATCGTGGCTACGAGGTGTTCCTGGGTGTCGGGCTGCCATGTACAGCGGGGAGATTCATCGCACTGGCAGGGTCTCCCAAGTTGAGAAGGAGGCCGGAGTTCCCATCGAGAAGCCTAGCTAAGAGTAAGGACCCACAATCGTCCTGGTATCAAAGTCGCATGGTGGTAAATCTTCCTATGATCCACAAGAGATGCGAGTGTCTACGGTGATGAAGTCCTGGGGCAGACTTTGGCCAGGCTGACCTCGGGATTCCAGGAAACCACAACGACTTAGCCAGCAAATTTCCAAAAAGTGGACATTATGCTGGAGCAGTGAGGATATGCCGTTCAAGTATCAAGTAAGCAAGTTAGTTTCCAGTAATGATCTCACGTCTACCGATTCCTCAACCTTCAAGGTTAGATTTATTATCAGTTGCGTAGACGGGTCAATAGATAGAATAACATGGTATTTAAAGTGCATCTCATGAAGTGCCAAATGTTCTTGCCTCGTCTTCGTAGGGCGCATCCTAACAGCGCGTATGTAATGGAAGCCGTTCGACGTTATCCCTTTCATGTAAAAGTGTCGAATAACGTCGCAAAATAAACCCTACTCGAACTCCTTATGGAACATGAAGGACACAAACAAGTACATATTCTCGATTCGGCAGTGAACGCCCTCCTAAAGCTGTGCCTAAAAAGCTCGATCTTCAGATGATCGGGGAAATATTACGCACGAATTAGAGGGTTGGCAATAGGACAGCAATTGGTACCCAAGCATTGCCCTTGCGTTCACGTTTAAAGCTAAGGTCCCCTTATTCGGTCTCCAGCTACTACTACTGTAGGTATATGGAGGACTGTTTTGTGATCTGCCCAACATAGGAGGGGTTCAACTAATGTTTTGAAATGCTCGACCAACATGAGAGTACATAGACTTCAAACCAAAGAACGTCTTGCTTCCGTTTTTGAACGTTCAGATCAACCTGCCCAAAAACGGCTAGGCCATCAAATGATCAAAATCCAAATAACAAAAATGCACTGGTTCATTACCTCTCATCTCACTCTTCACATACAAAAAGGTGTTTGTGGAAAATATGTTTCGAACAAGCACCAGTGCACATAAGGCAAAAGAGCAGAAGGATAAACCTCTGAACTTGGCACAAAAAATGTAAGCATTTCCAATAACTAGGAAACGGTAGTTAGTCGTTATACGGTTAGAAGAGAAACATGCTCCAAAACGATAACTCTAATGAAATTAGAGTCCCGTTCATGCTTTCAATTCAAGCAAATAAGCACAGCCATAAAACATTTCTTAAAAAGGACGGGTTTAGATAAGATTGTGGCAATGGTTAAAATAAAGCCGAACACTCTATGACGCCAGCTAGTTCGTAAAAGTTTGTTTGACAGTCTATGAACAGCACAAATCGCACAGTTTGCCCTATCAGGAGAGAAGGCGTTTGCATGACTTCGGATACAGTGTAACTTATCCCTTGTAAAGCATGTGAGGTCGAATACGTTGGCAAAACGGGTAGACCACTCCGTATCCGTATAAAGGGGCATCCACAGGTAAGCGTGAAGCTAAACACTCCATTAGAAGTGCATAGGATCCACAGATATTGCGGAGAAAATTTGGAAGTAGAAATCATAATCCTCAGAAATCTAAAACTTCAACGCATAAGTCTTGAAGTGTTCTGTATAAACTCCAAAAATCCGAAAATGAACCGCAAAGAGGAGTGCCTCGTGAGCACATGTGATCTCCTGTTATTTCTCACTTTGATTTTTCGATCTGAGCTACCGCATTCTCACCCATGTAAAACTGTTTATGGCTGGTCTCCAATAATTACTGGAAGACCTAAAAACAACAAAACGGTGACTGTTTATGAGAAATTGTTCACTACACGAGTAAGCGTTTATATACAATGTTTTGCCTATTGAGGTTATGATAGCGCTTGACTAAGTGGATTGCGTGTCAGTGACTCTTCCAGGTTCTGAAGAAGGTGAAACCGCTGAAATGTCAGTGAACAAATCTTGCCGTTAACCCGTCGAAACGTCAGCTGGAATTGTATTGAATAAATCATGCTGCTAAGAGCCTCGTGTTTGCTCAACAAGGAAACAGTGTACTATTGATCAATGTCGACCTTAAAAGAAAGTTGCTCCTATGATAGCTGAATTTGTAGAGGTGTGAAAACGTTGCTGTACACCAAAACATCTGATTGATGCAATAAAGAGGTAAACAACTAGGAGAAGAGGATGGCAAATTCGGTCATTCCGACGTTCTTGTTGCCGAATAATTTGTTCGTAAAAAGTAGATTAGCTCTAATCTATGCAACTCCAGCATTAAAAAAAGAATTACAATACCGTTCTCGATCCACCGGCTGTGCAATGCGCTCCAGTACATCCCGTTGGTACTGCTCGTAGAACTGGAACTTCGTTTTATAGTAACCGCCATCATATACCTGTAAGACGGATCCACTCAGGACGAGAAATAAACTAGCAACGTTAGATTTCTGCCGATGAACATCAGCTAAACAGTGATCATTACGTGAATATGAAAAGAGAGCATTGAATAAACCAACATATCCGACAGCTATATCGAAATGATTGCCTTCTCCAAGTATTTAGAAATGTCAAAATATGTCAAAACTTTTTTTGTTCTTGATTGGTAGAGTTTCTCTATTTAAAACGAATGGTTCAAAAACAGAACGGTGACCTTAAACATTCTGTACTCGTAATCAACTGATTCGGAGTTGTTTAGGTAATCCGGATAGCCGATTTTCTGCTTCATCGTATGGACCTGTAAACGAGAGCCTTCTAGATGGATCAATGGCTGAGTTTATAGCTGTTGTCTAATAGGCAGTTTTATATGTTCTTGACGCTATGAACTAGACTTAGAATACTCTAATAAAAAGTGGTTTGCCACTAGGAATTAAAAATTTGGCGAGAACTAATTTATTATTAGGTTCGGTATTTTAGCAGAGTGAATCGATTTCGACAAATGAGCGACTGCAACTACCTTTTGCTTTGCAAACTCTTTCGTCTCTTCCGTCAGCCAGTCCTCCGATACGAGCAGATCGACGAAAGCTTCCATAATGAGGCTAATCATCTCCTCAACCTAGACGATTAATTTCAGTCTAACACAAATGCCGGGAATTAAATGGAGCTAATTGGCAAAGGCCCCGAAGGGAAGTGACCCAATATGAAGAACGTATTTGTGTAAACCGTTCGCCTGACAGAAGCACGGTCAGGATGGGAATGTAAGCGTATGAAAGTTTAAACTTTAACTGGTAGCGATCTGAAATCCATGCTGTTCTCACAGTGGCAGAAAATGGGGATAGCAAAACCCCCGGATCTGTTCCAAATTTTTCTCACTAGTATATTCCATGTCTCGCACCGTGAAATAGAGTTAGACTTAAGTCTATTGCAAAAGTTTCTTTTGGAATTGGATTCTCAGGTGATAGGTAGTTTTTTGGAAAAGTAATGAACTCTATCACGTTCATTAGACGCCAAATGTAAATGTTTCAAGAAGGTGGTAAGAGCGACAGGAATTAGCGGACGGCATGAATTCATGTCATTTGCGTTTTCAATAAATCTGATTTCGGATAGCAGATAACCTACTTGCTTCTTGGCCTCATGGTCAAAGTGATTTTTCACGTAGATGGAAGACGTTGCCATTGGCATTAGGCTATTGATTCTGGTCACACAGCCATGCCATCGTACTTTCTGCACGTTCATCACTGAAAACGGATCGAGTACCCTGTACACACTTATGTATTGCGAGAGAATCTAAAGAGCTACTCCACGAATTATTTTCGGTCGTGAACAACCTTTAGCTATCGCATGAACGGTAGAAATGTATGGAAACGGAAATTCTTAACTGGATTTGTAAATCGTGCATGTTTTCAAATATTTTGGCCTCAAGTTTGGAACAAATAATATTTCCTTACTTGATACTTGAGTGGCGCGCCCTCACTAATTGTGCGAACCCCGGGACAAACTCCACTTCTGGGAGATTTGCTGCTTAAGCTATTGTGGCTCCCTGTAGTCCTGAGGACAGCCTGGCCAAAGTCTGCCCCAGGTCATTACTACGACAGGCACTCGCAGCTATTGTGGATCAGGGTGAGATTTGCCACCATGCCACTTTGATACCGGCAAGGTGGTGGATCCTAGTATTGGTCTACTCTTAGCTAGGCTTCCGGATGGAAACGCCGGACTCCTTCTTAGCTTAGGAAACCATGCCAAGGGGTGGATCCCCTGCTGCACATCGCGGTCTTACACCCAGGAACACTTTCCAGCCACAATGAAGCGGTAAACCGTTGGGAGGAGAATAAATAATGCCTAAAGAAATACTGTAACATCGCAAATGTAGTGCAGGTCTGCGACCAAGTTATCACAAATTAACACCACCGACACAGCCTGCATAATGTCAAGAATTGTTCGTAGTAGGCACAGAACGAAACTTATCCGAATTTGAAATTGCGTCTCGAAAAGGTTGGTTACTTAAAACGACTATATAGAAATGCATCTTTACCGTATTAATAATTATTTCAATAGCAGTAGGGCTGGTAAAGATGCTGAATTACGACCAAAACTAGAAACCTTGGGTGCGCTTCGAACTCGCCTTTTCGAACTTCGCCTTCGAACTATTTTGATATCATGAAAGGTTAATCGCCGGTTCGAAGTGCACCTGAGATTCCGAGTTTTCGTCATATCACCACATAATTGCGGTTGTATTTCAAATAATACCTTGCTATAGAAAATAATAAGCTGTAATGAAAATTAAAATAGAGGGAATGAGAGGGAATGGTAGATCCCCTTGTGTTTCAACTTCCTGACAACGTTGTTCAGCTTTAGAGAGACACCTTGCGTGTCTAAGATAGGCCATTATAGCTATATGATATTGGGTTACTCGGAATGTGGGATTTGAACTTGTGTCTTCCTTTTATTTGTTCTCGATATTCTTGTTGAGCAAACACGAGGTGTTACTTTATTCCCTATTCCGTTAAAGGTGTCGTTTCGGCGGATTTCGCCTTGTTCGGAGCCTGGGAAGGTATATTGATAGACATTTTACTAAGTTAAACGCTGCGATAACACATACAGAAAGATGAAAGTCTAAATCGCAATCACACGATCAACAGCTTCTCGAAAAAACCCATCGTTTATTACTCGCCTTCCACTATGGAAGAACAGCTGATCAGCGTCGCATATGGTCGATAAATGCACCAGCAATTCTGGCATACAGAGCAAGATCATGTGTGGTTTCAGGGCATTCCTTTCTGCAATTCATTCTCGGGTTCTTGCATTTATCCAAAAGGCCCCGAGATTTTGATATCAAAGTCAATATCCTAGCACTGGATGCCAAAACACCAACGCACAAACTTTTAGAGGATTTTTGAGTAAATAAAGGAGCCTTAGAGTGAATAGCAGGGATGAATACCCGGAGATTACACGTGATCCGGCCCCGTATCTTCGCATCGACTTTTGATGTGGGGTGGTGCATTCATCGACCTTATGCGACTCTGATCAGCTGTTCTTCCTCAGTGGAAGGCACGTAATAAACGGTGGGTTTTTCGAGATACTATTGATCGTGTGATTGCGATTTAGATTTTCTTCTTTCTGTATGTGTTATCGGAGCGTTTGACTTAGTAAACTGCCTATTAATATACCCTTCCAGGCTCTGAAAAAGGCGCAATCCGCCGAAACGCCAGCTTTAACGGAATAAAGACTGAAGTAACACGTCGTGTTTGCTCAACAAGAATATCGAGAACTACTTGATCAATGCCGAGGTTAATAGAAAGTCGGTCGTGAAAATTTATTTGTTCTGCCTGTCTCTCAGTTATTTCTATCGATCTTTGTCACAGCAATCACCCGTCAGCGGGATTGATCTGGGGCGCCCAAATCGGCATAGAACCCAGTTAAGCTGCGGCTGTAGTTGAAATCACAATGTTATACCTTTTTTTATTTGATTGCTGTGGCAAAAATCGGTAGATGTAACTGAGAGACAGGCGAAACAAAGGACCTGCATGGTGTGGTGGTGAACGCGTTACTCCCCGGAAAGAACAATAGCACGTTCGTTCCCCACCATAGACACCTGCGGTTCAGAGTTTTGCAAATATCTCAGCAACGTTGGGGTTGTATTTCGCTTAGTACCCTGCCGAAAAAATATAGTAGGCAGAAAATTTTTAAAAAAAGTATAACATTTTATTTGTTCTATTAATAACCCGGCAGATTTGGAGCCCATTGGCAAAAATATGCACGGCTTTTATCTCGACCAATAAGGTTTGTTCTAAGCTGAGATATGCCACTCTGGAAGTACAAATCGAAATCGTCCATTAATTTCTGAACAAACTAATATAACCTTAACTGCTTTTTAGGATTACAATCCGTTACAATGGTTTCTTATATAACAACTAACAGCTAAGCTATTAGCGCCAGGAGGGTTCAAATGTCGCAATATCAGACCGGTAAAAATCTCTTCTTTGAAGGTCATTATGTAGCGTGAAGAAGTAAATGAAGGCTTACAGTTGAGCGTCTTGTAAAACTTGAATATAGTCAATGCAAAGGGATCAGGAAGATCGCGAAGCATCGTCTTGAAGAACCAGCACCATTCGAGATAGTTCACCACTCTTCTAAAGAATTTAGACGTGTTGAAGAATAAGGAAACGAAGATTTAAGAGAAATACCTTTTCTCGAATTGTGGCAATAACTTGTTTAGCCGGCGAAGAAATTCCACACCATACACGACAACCTCGGTGTTTTCGCCAAAAGAAATTTGTTTGCCACTCTAAACGTTCAAATGAATAAAACTGGATGCGGAAAACTTTTAAAACGACCAAGGTTTTATGACAAAGTGCAATAACGGTCTCTAAGACCATGTGGAGCTTGTGAATGACTTTTGGAATTCCCTCAATAACACAGAGTACTGTACCTATGAAAATTCAACATTAACAAAGTATGCAGTTCAGATATTTTGCACTTTATATATGCTATATCTCTTATCAAACAAACGTGAAACAGTTTTTCTAAGTGGTACCACCATCCATGAGCACCATAAGGGCGCGTGCGGCGCAGTGATCGGAGCCGTCCTGCAACACACTTGTGATCGATCCCCGCGCCCAAGGCCCACCAAGCCTTCCATCCCGCCGGGGTGGGCAGATTGGAACTAGACTTGTCTGGGGAAACGGTAGCACTGGCTCGGTACATCGGTAGGCTACTGCGAGCCATTGTAAAGGCCAGAGATGCATTCAAGGATCTCCAAACGATGCTTAGTGAAGTCGAATGCATGGCGCATCCCTGAGGAATTGATCAATGCCGAGAGCTTTATCCTTTCCTTTCCAACTGATATCACTCAGGATAGTAGAAAAGAAAGAGTAAGCAGAAGAAATTATCACCCTAGTTTCAACCGTCAAATTTCAGTTAATAGTTTTTATCGTTTCTTGAACTCTTGCTCTTTCTGCAGCGACAGTCTCTCGCCCAACGAAAATCGCTGTAGTACTTCCAAAAAGGTATACCCAAATCTGGAAAGCATTTGAAGTACCGTTCCCTAGGCATAATCCGATATAGAAATGTTGACCGGTAGCCACCTACACACCGATTTCTGATGTGGCTTAATCAGCACCACTACTTTCAGCTGAATTTTGGGACCAGACATTACTCTTTGCTCAATGTCGGACCGCGAAGAGGGCAAAGGGCAGTACTGCGCCGCTGTGAAATTTGACGGCGTCAAAAATATATTCACGACGTGAACATCGTTTTATATCTACTATGGCAGTGATTAAAACGTCATAAAGAGATTCTTGCCTTGTCGGTGATATCACGAAAGACTTCGTTGAAGAAAACCAGCCAGTCGAAGTTCGACAACTGCTCCTTCATCTGTCCGAGCGTCATTTTCGTGTACAGCTCGGCAATATCGTGGCGTTGATCGTCTCCCATTGTGATCTGAAACTTTTCCGCTCTATTTTTCTGCAGCGTATTGGAATTTGCAAGCAATTCGAAGTTATACGTGGAACACAATATTTGAAAATCTTAGAGGGCAAATCCAAAGACCGACTTTGTGTTAACTTAAGCATTGTTTGACAATTCACTGTTCTTCTTCAATGAGCAAAAGAAAGTTGGTATCATAGATTTTATTAGCATACAGCAGCTGACAGCTCGGCGGTTTCGTCTTATTCGGAGAAGTCACTATCCTCGCACAGGAATCCAAGACATCAGCTCGTGAAATTCTTGAAGCGTCTTGGGTTGATTCCACAGATCCAAAAATGAATCGCCATGAGGAGTGTCTGGTGACCACACGAGAGCTAGCGCCATACCTCAAGATGATTCTATGACCTGAACCTGGCACATTCCTAGCCCACGTATTACCCCTGTGCGCCTGTTCTCCACCAGTTAACTGGAGTGGTTACAGTTATTTAAAAAAGCTGTTTACTATAGGAATGCAAATTTGCGTGTTAAGTCTTATCTGTTGCGGTCATGAAAGTGTTCGGTTGAGTAGATTGCACGGCAATTTGACCTGTCCAGGCTCTGAAGAAGGCGAAACCTCCAAAATGTCAGCTAATGTATGCTAATAAATTTTACAATGCCAACCTCATGTTTGCTTATTGAAGAAAAACAGTGTATTAAAGGGCACTTTCTGCAATGGGAAAAATTTCTCACAAACCACCGTACACACGACTAGGATAGCCCATGCTGTATATTAATCTACGGATCCACTAACTCTTCGTTTTGAATGAGTTAGGTTGATAAACACGTATTTCGCTGGAAAGATCAGTTCTGGATGGTCCATGTTTATTCGTAGATCAATGGAGCGTGTCCATTCCTCATCTCATGAATCGACCATGTTACAAGGTTGGATCACAACCTAACGGATTGGAAAGAAGCAGTACTATGGCAGATAACGTAAAAGGAAGATCGCATACAAGAACATTTTCAAAGAGCTCTTTACCTATGCGAGACCTGAGCGATAAATACGACCTGTTTAGCAAAATATTCGAAAGCTGAATCGAGACAAACAGCCCAACACAAGCACCACATCAAAGTCGTTGTCTTTCACCAGGTAAAAAAAGGACTCGCTATCTTCCTTGTTAAACGAGGAAAGTTCAGACTGTCTTTTTTCTCACACCTTGTTGACACTGTGAAAAAACATTAATGTGTTGAACATACCTCCCTACGGCTTACCGCGTCATCATGGCCAAGAAGTGTTTCTGGGTGTCGGACTGCGATGCACGGAGTGGAATTCATCACCTGGTAGGGTCTCCCAAACTAAGAAGGAGACCGGCGTTTCCACCAGAAAACCTAGCTAAGAGTAAATCAATACCAAGATCCACCACCGACCTGGTATCAAAGTCCCATGGTAGCAAATCTCCTTCTGATCCACAAAGGCTACGACTGCCTCTGGTGGCGAAGACCTGGACAGACTTTGGCCAGGCTGACCTCGGGATTCCAGTGAACTACGATGACTTAGCTAACAAATATCCGAAAAATGGAGATTATGCTGGGACTCGCACAACCAGTGAAGACGGGCCACACAAGTATCAAATAAGTAACGAGATGACACGAATAGGCCTTATCTCCAGATTTCAGTGGCAACATCACTGAACCAACGTGTCGTTAAGTCGCATGTGAACCCACGTGAGTACCAGGGCGACTGCTTAAACGAAGACTGAAAGAATAGATGAAGCACTGAGTAGCATCACATGTTAGCATGGTATATCTAAGTAGAATAAACATTAAAACTATATCAAGGGAAGTAATGCCCAAGACCCATGCTATGTATAAAAAGCTAAACGAACGATTTAAAAACTGTGGCAAAGATCTATAGAACTAGCTGAAAGACGGGCGAAACGAAGGTCCCGCATGATGTGGTGGTGAACGCGTTACTCCCTGGAAAGGACAATAGCGCGTTCGTTCCCCACCGCATACATCTGCGGTCCAGAGTTTTGGTCCAGAGAATTCTAGACTAAAAACGATTACCGTTTTCCAAGCGCTCAGCAACACTCATGCTGTACCAAACAAAATGTAACCGACAAGAGAGTTCACAGCAGACACCTATTGTGGGTTTCTATCAGAAAATCAATGAAATAAACGATCTAACCCCAGAGGTAAACAAAAAAAGTGAGCAGAACGGTGAGATTGCAAATATAGTAAATATAATATAGTAAACATATATGTAGTAACATATAGTAACGGAAAGGAAGGATTTCGTGCTTTTGTGCACATTTCGTCTCGAGGATTTATTCCTGCTTTAACACATGCCTTAGAAAACTCCACGCTACCAAGGAGTAGAAATTATTTGCCACCGATATAGAAGCGTTGTCCAGTACAGGCTTACAGTAACCCTATTATGAAAGGTGGAAATAAGGCTGTCGACGTTACCACCTAAGTTGCCAAAGACCAGAATGTCTGCCTCTTATGACGAAATGTCGAAAACCATTGAGCTGCACATATGATGCGCCTATCAAGGCAAGGAGACCAAATGCTAAGAATTCTCAACGAAAATCCTACACAAAAATATGACACTTTTTACACTCTAGTCTGAGCGGCACCTACTTAACGACTCTGGCAGAAGACAGGGTTAAAACAGAGAAAAGATGGTACGGGTGATTTCAATTTAAGTTTAAACTTTCCTTAACTGAACCTTTCCATCTCTACATCATAGCACAATCTAAATGCTGCTTTGCAACGACACCCATTTCTTTTACCACTCATCATACACGGCACATATTTCAAAGCAAGTACCCCTATTTGTTACGTGATTGCTCACATTATTTCCTAATGGCAATGATTTCCCTCTTATTGAAAAGCAAAACTCATGAAGCAGGTACATTGGCGAGGGCGGTCTCAAACTCGATGATTTCCTCAGCATCCTGAGTTGCCGATTGGACGGGCGCGTGGAGAAGCACCAGGACGTCTCTGAAATCCAGTAGATAAACTCAGGGAAAGATTTATAATATTGAAAAACGCAACAAAATTAAGGAAATAAAGATTTTATGTCTACTGATGTCACTCTTATAGACATTTGTCACTTAAGCACACAACAAAAACAAAGTGACTGAGAAGTTCTCATAGTAATGCGAAATTTCGGTATTCTTCTCAATCAGACATTCAAATCATCGTTGGCCTCGGAACTTCGTCACTTTGACCATCTCACCTGATCAGCTGCAAGTAGGCCAATCGTTCTTCATTCTCGGCCAGCACGTAGAAATCACGAGCGAAGAGATTTAGTGCTGGTTGGTCGACCTGAATAAGAAAGAGCCACATGCCTCTTCCAGTATCAAAGCCAACTATCCATGGACAGCGCTTTTATGAATGACAAAAAAATTGTAATATATTGAACTGCTGCAACTGGTTCAACTGTGCAACAAACTACATTCTCCTACATGCACTTGTCCACTTCTTACAACTTCATAAACGAAATTTCTAGAGGGTCGTAGCCACATGCACTATTTAAAGGATAGATATCAGAATTACGAGTGCAGAGAAATATGGAAGAAACTCGATCACGTTCATGACGTTTTCATTTTCCTCAAGATGTATTTTAAACGTAAGGTAGTAGGTTGTCAAATACATCAAAAAATAATGAACAACATCACTCACTAGTAAAACATGCTTCTCCGAGTTCTTGTCGTCTGGTTGTACGGTAGCTTTGAAAAGTGAGTCTGCTCGGAACTTCGCCACCATATCTCCTAAATCGCACAGCACTGAGTTGTTGTAGGCTCTCCAAACAAAGCTCATGAAAACGGACCGTACAGTTTTTCAATGGATATGTTATCCCGCACAGGATGGCCGAGACTCGGCCAACCTCCGAATGACGCCACTACCTCGTTGAAGGTTGTCCGCCAATTATCGAAGATTTCTGCTTAAAACATTAGAAAACCGTCGAAATCGAATATATATTTAGCAGAGACAAAACTTAAAGACACTGGCAGTGAGTGCAACGTGCCCATGTAGGGCTGTACAAAATTCGTCCAATCCTCATCTTCCTCGCACAGGAATGCGCCGTGGCAGTACGATAGAGAGGAAAAGTGAGCGAAATATGGTGAAAAGAAAATGTGACTAAATCACAAACAAGTAGAGATTTGATACGCCTCAAATTGGTTGTTTTCTTGACTGAAGTGGTGTACTAAGAAAACACATTAGCATTTGAAGCTGTCTTGTTAAGTTAAAAACAGACTAACAATTTCGCTCCTTTCCAGCGACTTCAACTCTTTTCTAGCCTTTTTCTAGATTATTTATGCACTAATAATATAATCTATTGTTGAATTATACAAAAAATTAAGCTTGCTAGAAGGAAAAAAGGCGTAGGCCATAAACAAGCCATAGAACCTAACAGAACATTCTGTTACCCATCCTATGCTAGCAAAGTAGTGCTAAAATTCGCCGTTTAGAAAAAGGAATAATCTCCCTGGAGTCTGAGATAGCCCAGTTAGAGCGTGCCCACGTATTTGCAAGGAATTAACCAATTGTCTCAAACAAGTCTGGCAACAGTTTTCCAAACGCGAAGGGATGACTTAAGCGTCCAAATGTTGAAAAGTTCCGTCTGGACTGTAGTCGCAATAAAAGAAAGTAGAAATACTGAACGGTAAATTTTTCCATATTTTCGTTATTAAATTATGATTAAATGGTGGTAAATTACTTCGGAAGACCATTATTACCCTTAATAAGAAAATTTCCATTGTCTAAATATACAACATCTAGACATACTACGCTCATAAAAATATTACAGGAAAGTCCTAGGCATATAAATCACTCCTCTAACCTTTACCATAAGTAATCACGTCGATGTAGAGCCTCCTAAACTCTAGCACTCCCCTCCTGATGCATTTAGCAACGAGCCAGATGATGAGAGCTTAGATATCGCATGTGAACACTTAGCTTCTATACCATTATAACCTAAGTAGCAGCCAGAGATTTTTGGGTGCTCAGTTTCAAGTTTAGTACCGCTTTCTTGTCATCATGGATCACAACACAGCACTGAAATAGCTATGGGTTTTCAAGTTTAGACTTCGGAAATCCATACTTCACCGCAGGTAACGTGTGAGCGAACGTAGCCTGCTGCCATGTATGATGACAGTTGTCCACCCAAGATACTAAATGACAAGTTATCCATCATAATTCTGACAGCGCTATTGTAGTGTAACAGGCATCCATTACTCGCTCGGTTTACACAAAACTCATTACAGAAACGTAAAGTAACCATTTCAGTAAATTTTTGCTTGCGCAATGAAAGCTACAAACTCACATTCATTTAAGCACAGTTTGTAGAAAAATTTCGCTTTACCGATAGCGCTTCCACTTTCGATTTGCTCATCTGGTGTGGTCTTCTTCTCGAGCAGCTCTAAAATTATATTTCAATCACAAATCAATCAAAATAACAACATCATGCTTATGTATGCATATGTATATATATATATGTACATGTATATATATACATGTATGTATATATACATACGTGTATATATATGACGTTAGTTCGATTTCACGCTTGTGGTAAACCAAGCCCTCCATCCTTCTGGATTCAGCAAATTGGTAGAAGAATTTGTGAAAGCCAACGAACCATACCTTTTTTACTTCTCAACATGATTCGCGATCTGTTACCTTGTTCTACTCACATACTTAGGAAGAAACATTTATCAAAAAAGTGCGACATATTCGATTCTTTAGCGGTATGAAAGGTCTTTAGCTAATCATGTAGGTAAGAGAGGTAAACGATGTAGACCTCGGCGTTGGTCAATTCGTGAGGAATGCGCCATGCATTCGACTTCGTCAAGCATCGTTAGAGGTGTCTGAATGCATATCAGGCCATAAAATGAGTCGCGGTACCCTACCAATATGTCGACTCAGTGCTCTTCACCACAGATGGTAACAATTCATCAACTCCGAAAGAATGGAAAGTTTCATGAGTCCAAGCTAAGAGATTAAAGCATCCATGTGTGCATTGCAGGGCACTTCTAACCAATGTGGTATAGTCGCCCTTGTTACTATACGACACAACAACAATAACCAAGGAGAAACCACTTAACAATTACAATCTCTAATAAAGAGCTACGTCACGACAACGTGTTGTTTCTACGGCTTATATTACCTGAATGCTTACACTAATTCTTCAAGCACTATGCAATTCCTAGTTTTAACTCCTATGTGTTCTCTGATGTGTATGCCACATCCTATAGTGGTCTTTCTTTGTGATGAACTTCTCTGTGGATAAATCGTCGGCCAAGATGAGACAGTAAACTATTAGTATTTTAAAATTCAACACATTTATAAGAATAGATCTGTCGCTAGAAAACCCTAGCGAACTATCCATTGATAGTGTAACCGCTCGCCAACCCAAAAATGTGATGCTTTTGTGTCTCTCAATGCAATAGCTGTCAGTTCTGCCGTACGACAAGGACTAATAAGAATATACTGGTACCGAATTGAGTTACTAAATGGCTACTCATATACAAACTATGACACGTACCTTTCAAGGCGAATTCGAGATCCTGCCCGAGATTTTCGAAGTTGCTAACGGAAGGCGCATCGTCTGGAATCGGATGCCCTCGGATCCACTGACCGCAAGCATATTCATAGAAGTCTGAGCATGGGTCGACCGACGAGTTCATCGACGACAGAATCACGGACGCTGAAATATATCTTGAAACCGGTACTCTGAGATATTTCCAACCCATCAACAACATATCAGAATTGCAATCATTGAAATGAGCCACTTTTGCTTCTTTTATTTCTGATCTGCTTGTATAGAATTTTTATATTTACATAATATGAAGAGAAGGGGGCCATTTACGTCTTAACGGCATCTGTTTCGTCGATGTCCCTGAAATTCACTGACAATCTATCGATTATGTTAATCAGCTGACAGCAGCACTGACTAGCATTTGTAGTGGCCGAAACTGTTAGGCTTAGTGGAAACGGATTATCTATTTCCCATTAGAAAATCCAGACCGTCTGAGGAGTATCGTCCATGGACCAATTACTTACATCAAAGCTTAATTGAGAAGAAACTTGACCTTCTCAATGCAAGGATGAGCTTGCACAACAACTATAAAGAACCTGACACCTTTAAGATTTCCTAGGTAACAAATACGATCTTGTGGTGGGAGTCTCATCCTATTTCAATACAGTTCTTGACGTCGTTTCTTCAGCCTCCCCACATCCTTCATTATTTTTACCGCGATATTCCTCACAAGCTAATCGTTTCTTTCAGTTCTGTGCTCATTAGATTCGAACAACAGGAGTTCTCCGAAAACCAACACATGTAAAAACAGTTGAGACATTTTTGCCAATGCGGTACATCTTTATATACCAGTTGCATGCAATTCTTGCTAAAGGCAGTTTCAGCCCTGCCTGCTTTCTGAAGCGTTTCTCTCACAGAAATTTATCAAAAAGTGGCTGTCGCTAGGTCTAACGGGTGTGGTGGATGAGACAGAGTTCCATAGACTAGCACGTTCAACCTTTGTAGTGTCGAAATGGTAAAATGTAGTGGCGCGTTATCGTAAAGAAGTCCTTTTGTCTACCAATTCGGGCGTAACCGATGAGGTTTTCGATTTTCTGGGCGTACTTCATCTCCCTGCTGCAATTGTTTCGCTGCAGGATAGAAAACTGTGGTTGTGAAAGCCGACAGTAAACCACCAAACGGTCAGCATGGACTTCTTTTGTTGCTATCTAACTCATGGGAAGTGTTGCATAGCTGCACTGAGCCCCAACCATTCAGCTGATTATCACCCGTTATCATATAACAACCTTTCATGTCGCGCGTCACGGTATAGTCCAAAAACAGATCGTGCTAGTTAAGCAGAAGAAGCGCCGACGATCTCTTAGAACGGCCATTTTTTATTTTTAGTTTTCATTCAATTCGTACGCTACCAATTTGACGAGTTTCTTCGACTTTCTAGTGTTATTTAAATCCTCTGAAACAGTTGACATGATCATAGAGAGTTCTCCGCAGGTTCTCAAACGTTTTTGTGTCCTAACTTTCACTTACTCCCTAATCTTTTACTTGTGGCATAGCGCTGTGTGGAATACCACTACAAGAATGTTGAGATTCGAGCAAGGTCGGAATTGCTTCGAACTCATTGTCGATCACCCTTACTAGTAGCCCACGTGATATCCCACCTCATCAACCGAGTTCTTTGCTCCGCCTAACTCATTCATTGCCTTTGAATTCCCGTCGTCGGAGGGTTGGTGTTAGCATTAATAGAGTAAAGTATGGCTTCAACAAAGTCAAAATATGGGCTTCGGTTAGTGCTCTGGATAGCATGTGAGACCCCGGTAAGGGTAATCGCAAGTTCAAAGTCCAGTTGAGTTCCCGAGTTTTGCTCGTATCTAAATATCTTTGTGGTTGCAATTGTGTGCATGTTTGCTTCCACCACAAAGTTAAATTCATCGTCATCAATAGCAGAAGACATCTGCGATGCGAGCAACCTCCAAGGTCTGTCTCGCCACGGCGGACATTTCGAAGGCAGTGTTTCACGTCGCAGAAGTAGATCCGCCGAAATCGCAGTTTTGAGATTTCAATTTCCAACCTAAAAATTGCGCCAAACATCTATTCGATACTATAACTCAGTCATACGCTGCAAAAGTGCATAAAATGCGCTCTGTAATGATTCATAACAGTGAGGTATTCGAAAAAGAACCTGCGTCCAAAACACATAGAAGGAAAAAATTACAGGTCCAGAGCAACTTTATTACAACGCACAACGGAGATACTCACCAAAACTTCTTAGAGATAAAAATGTGAGTAGAATATTTACGCGTTAATAAAACTTTAACCACAATCTTAACCGTCGAAAGACAGGCGAAACGAAGGACCCGCATGGTGTGGTGGTGAACGCGTTACTCCCCGGAAAGGACAACAGCACGTTCGTTCCCCACCGCAGACATCTGCAGTCCGGAGTTTTGCAAATATCTCAGCTTCACTGTAGTTATATTTCGCATAATATTATGCCATGGAAAATTATAGTAGACAGAAAATAAAAAGTTAACATCATTCTTCGGCTTCGAGTATGTTTTGGGTTAAGAATTTGAAAAAGAATAGAAACAACTCTCATAATGCTCAGATATTCCGGACCGCAGGTGTCTGTGGTGGGGAACGAACGTGCTATTTTCCTCTCCTGGGATTAATGCGTTCTCCACCATACCATGCGGATCCTTCGTTTCGTCTGTCTGTCAGCTAGTTTTATCGATCACAGCTATCAGCAATCATCCGCCAACGAAATTGATCTAGAGAGCCCAAATCGGCACGAACCCAGTTAAGCTGAGGCTATAGTAATAATCACAATCTTAACCTTTTTTATTTACTGCCTGTTCTCTTTCATGGCAGGGCAGGTTGCGAAATATAACTTTCATAATGCTGAGATATTTGCAAAACTCCGGAACGCAGGTGTCTGCGGTGGGGAACGCACACACTACTATCCCTTCAGAGTGTTAAAGCGTTCACCACCACACCATGCGTGTCTCTCGTTTCACCTGCCTCTCAGCTAGCCAAAAAAGAAATAGCTGAAAAAACTACCTGGGAGGCAGGCGAAACGAAGGGCCCGCATGGTGTGGTGGTGAACGCGTTACTCCCTGGAAAGGAAAATAGCGCGTTCGTTCCCCGCCGCAGACACTTGCAGTCCGGAGTTTTGCAAATATCTCAGCATTATGAAAGTTATATTTCGAAACCTACCCTGTCATTAAAAAAAATAAGAAGCAAATGAAAAAAGGTTAAGATTGTGATTAAGATACAATTCAAATTTTTCGCAGCACCATGGTGTCTGCAAGACCAGATTCCTCTTACTCACATTATGCATTATTGTGTCCAAATAACAACGCGTGACGCAGAAGGGCAAAAAAATATGTTTGGTGAGGTCTATAAAACCAGCTTTTTGTTCTGTTAGGAAGAGAAGATTGGTATCCTATAGAGACACAGATCGGCACATCCTAATGCCTTCCATTTAATTTAATAGTGCTTATAACGAGTTGAGATAACTTAGTTCAGAGTTGAATGTGATCATTATATTCGCATCTTTCAGCTACATCATCCTCGAACGTTGTGAGAAACAAGGAATGTAGCGATTTCTACGAGCACTTAGTCATTCAAAAAAAAATTAGAGATGATAAGGACTTATCCACCCAAGCCTTCCATCCGTCCAGGGTCGGAAATTTGGTACCAGACTTGTCAGCGAGGATAGCAGCACTGGCTCGATACATTGGCAGGCTAGCGCGAGCCATTGTAAAGGTCATGATGCGGAATGCATGGCGCATCTCTCAGGGATCGATCAACGCCAAGAGCTTTTCTAACCTTTTACGTTAAAGTTCTATGAGGCACTTTGTTGCTGTTATTTACGAATATCAACAATTTCATTTCTTCTCGATTCTCGGTTGACTTGATCGATTCTTGATCGATCTCGGCTTCTCGATTCAGCAGTTGATGGCACTATTAAAGGAGTGCCTGAACTGCTCAATCTTCAGATGGTCCGGGAGGTATTACGCACAAATGAGAGGGCTGGCAATGGGACAACGACTGGCTCCAAGCCTTGCCATTGCATTCATGTCTAAGGTGGAAGCGCCAGTAATCGACCTCGGTCCGTTACTTTACTCTACTGTAGATATATAGATGACTGCTTGCTCATTTGTTCAACGCAAGAAGAAATCGACAGATGTTTCTTGTTGAACACAGAGAGTATATGAAATTCACCCGAGAGAAACCAAAAGAAGACTGGCTTCCATTTCTGAACGTGCAAATTAGCCTATCAAAAAACGGCTACATTACGAAGTGGTATCGAAAGCCAAGTAGTAAAAACATCCTAGCTCATTACCTCTCCTCTCATCCCTCTCACACGAAAAGGGCGCTTGTGAGAAACATGTATCAAACGGCTACCAGCGTGTGCACAGGGAGACAACAGAGAGAGGAGTCCCGGAACTTGGCACGGCAAATAGCCATTTTTAATGGCTACGAAACCGTAGCTCCAGATAGGTGTAGAAGAAACCACAGGTACCCCAACGATAACTCTAGCGACAACAAGGTCCCGTTTATACTGCCCTCCATTTCAAATGAAGTAAGTGCAGCTATAAAACGCTGTTTAAGAAGGGCCAGTCTAGAGAATTCGGTAACGATAATCGAAATACCACCGAATAATCTAAGGCGCCAGCTAGATCGTAACCGCCTATACGACCGTCTATGTGCAACGCAAAATTGCATAATTCGCCCCAATGGTGGAGACGGTGACTGCATGAGTTCGGGTACAGTCTATCTGATCTCTTGTAAAGCGTGCGGGGACGAATACGTTGGCGAAACGGGTAGGCCACTCTGCGTACGTATAAAAGAACACCTAGCCGGCAAACGTAAGCTAAGGACTCCACTAGGTACGCATAGCACGCAGAAACATAACGGAGAAGATTTTGAAGTAAGGGTTACGATCCTCGCGCAAGAATCGAGAACACAAGNGAGACGGTGACTGCATGAGTTCGGGTACAGTCTATCTGATCTCTTGTAAAGCGTGCGGGGACGAATACGTTGGCGAAACGGGTAGGCCACTCTGCGTACGTATAAAAGAACACCTAGCCGGCAAACGTAAGCTAAGGACTCCACTAGGTACGCATAGCACGCAGAAACATAACGGAG